GTAGGGTCTGGGTTTTTGGGTTTTAGGGGTTTAGGTTTTAGGGTTTAGGGCTCCTAACGAAAACGCTACCAAATCCAAGAAGGGAACTGCATCGAAGCTTCAGGCAGGGTTTAGGGTTCTTTTTTGGAATCTTGGATTTCTCAAGTTGATCCTCAAAGAGGATCCTTACCATCGCCTTTGAGTAGCGACATACTTTGGGTTTCGGGTTTCCAAGGGTACCCTTATTGTGAGAAAGTCTGATATGGGATATGCCTCAAAGCCCCACGTCCGCTTAGTCTGGATTGGGATCCAAAGTTTTCCTTGGCTGGGAATGAAAGGGGTACCCTTTGTCTTCAGGAAGAGCCACACTCTAGATATCGACAAATGCTTTAAATCCTACAGAAAGCTTGAGGCCAAGCAGACAGTTATCTGTTGTCTGAGTGATGCTGCAATCGAAGATCATGACTTAAAAGCCTCGAACCCACAAAGGGTGAAGCCAAAAGGGTTTTAGGGGGTTGAGATGGGGACAAAAAGCCGCCCGCGCCCCTTACAGAAGTGAGACTTAGATTGATCCCCAGACATGCTGGCTAATAAGGACCCGCATAATACTTGCACAACTCATACAAACCCTAGGATCCTAGGCCCCTCATTTTGAGAAAATCCCTAGGATCCCTGGCCCCTGATTTTCAGAAAATCCCAAAGTGAAAGGCAGTTCTGAAGATCGACCCCTTGGCGCAGACTGTTTCCGCAATTGGCGAACCTATCGAAAGCGGTCCCTTGCAGCGGACAAGATTTTAGGTTTTTAAGGTTTGAGGTTGAGAGATCAAGTTCAAGGCTTCGTCTTGGGTGTTGTACTTGTCGCTGTAGACAGTACGTGGGTTGTGTTGAGAAAGGTGGTAAAGGATTGAGGGCGCTTTGTCAGATAGGGATGTTCTGGCTGCGGTAAACATGTGTTGGGTTTCACTAGGGTAGAAGGGGTTTGAGCTTCAGCTGATACAGTGTGAGGTCGCATTTGATGAAAGTTTATGGTGATTTTGCAGAGGGCTCCTTAGGACTATGGATGAGGAGATATATTGATGGGGTGACCACGAATTACCACCAGGGGCCATATGGACTATGCCAGAAGTCATGTGTTAGTATGTTTTGGATTGAGCATACCATGAATCACTTGCTGCCCGCATTCTCCTTGGCATTCGTCTGTGGCAAGATGCTACAGTGTTGTTATGGGGATGTTCGGTTATGAGGTCCTATACTACACCCCCCTTGCTCCCTCCACAAGGCAGAACCCCCAAGACGGCTTACAGTAATCAAAACGCCCAGGCTTTTGGCGACCGAATGGCCGCTTAGCCGCTTTTCACTCGGTGCAGTAGTTTAGTCCTGCAGGAGTGAGAGCAGGGTCGCACGATTCTTGAGGATTTTTTCAGTAGCCCCAGACCCGTCCTGCTTGCTTGTTTGTTTACGAGTCGGAATTACTGGAAACCTTGCCTTGATGTGTGAAGCACATATTGTTCAAAGGGTTTAGGGTTTAGGGTTTAGCGTTTAGGGTTTAGGGATGGGATTGCCAGAAATCTTCTACCTTCGGTGCTGACGTGATATTGCACCAAATGTCGGCAGCACCTTAAAGCATCACGGTTCTGACAAATTGGACAATCAGTTCGCTCAACTATTTTTTGGAGACAGCTTGGGGCTCATTTCATATACCCGTGTCCTGCCTTCGGACTCCTACATGAGTAGTATTTTATTTGAGGATACTATATGGTACCCAATATAGAGTATGAGATTATATCCTCCTTTTGGGGTATAGAATTTTATTTAAGGAATATAATCTTACTAGGTTCAACCACCAAAAAAAACTACTCACATGAGCCCCAACATATATCATCCTCAGGAGGGACGCTCTGCAAGACCACTAAGATTCAGAAGTTCCGGGCGCCTGACCCGACTCATCCCTCTAAATCCTACATCCTATTCTTGGGAGGGACTTCGTAGGTAGGTCAACAATGGGGATACCTGGAGTGACTACCATGGGCTCAGGGCTTAGAAGGACACTTACAGAGTCTCCCTGACCTTCCAAGCTGCTTTCAGGTCCAATGAAATCCTGCACTCCATGTCCGAAGCACCTCCCAGGCAAATACAAGTACGGTGGTGGCATTGTAGCGCCAAGTGGCGCCATCTACTGCTTCCCTAGCGATGTCCCGCGGCTTCGGATCAACATCGGAGCCTGAGCTTTCAAGTCCGCCGCATTGGGCCTGTAGTTTGGTGTATGGGAGTTTCCCCAACATACGTGTCAACCTTATATCTCCCCATTATACGATGACGCCCAGTAATTACGCAGAACCCCAAACAAGGGACCCCTAATTTTTTGAAACTCCCTAAGTAGACCGCGGGCTTGAGTTCTAAGGTTTTGAGTCTCCCCTTGGAAGTGGTTACTCACTGTGCAAAAGGGATCAATAAGAAGCAGAGACGGCAAGCTTGTCAGCATGGAGGTGGGTTGGCAGTAGAAACCCTCAAATCAACGAGTAGCTGCTTTGCATTTCAATCCGGCAAGTTTTGCTGGTGAACACAACTATAGCCTCCCCACAGAGCCAGTCTAGAGCTTCAGGCTCAGCTGTAAAGGCTGACTGTAGGGATCAAGGGCCCGCAATCCCTAAGCCTGGTGTTACAACCTTCCTTAACACCGGCCTGATAGGGAAGGCAGGGAAGCGTGTCAGGTCGAAGCAGATATGAGCTAAAGTCTAAACTCCATGAAGGGGGGTTATATAGGGATTATGTAGGGGAGTATTGTAGGGATCATTCAGGAGGATACTAGGAGTTTAGACTATAGTTCATATGCCCCCAATGAACACCTTAACACTCATTGAATCTTATTTCGCATACCCAGCAAGGCCCATGGTCGCAACCCTCCTGAATAGGAAGCTCTCATTCTCAAACGCCAAACCGAACCACTGAACACTACAACCACCAAAACCTGAGCCTTAAGCCCTAAGGCCAAAACCCGCACCAACTCAAAACTGCATCGGCAGCGCCGAGGCTGACTTTGTCTTGAAGATCTCGCCGGACACGGAAGAGGCTCGGAGTTCAGGGTATACGGCTTAGGGGGCCCTCGCGATTTATTGGGGTCGCAAGGCGAAGGAGGGTCGTCCGAAGAAGATTTCAGACACACTTTGCTACCGAGGTTGCAAGGTCAACGAAAGTATGGAGCTACCTGGTTCAAGCGCTGCCTGGAGACCTGGTTACAGATTTGTTTATGTAAAGGCCAACCATTTTCCATCAGCCACAAGGATACCGCGGCTAGTTGGATTCCACATCGGTATTTCGCATAGTCGAGGTTCCCCGACTTTACCCAACCAGCAGTCAATGTGTCCTTTCCAGAGTTTTGAGAAACTTTGAATCGTGAACCTCACGCCCCAAGAACTTTACAGCCCAGACTTATAAACCTTGCTACCGGCGCACCCTGACCCTCAAGCCTACAACCCTACATAACGTTCAGCTCCTGGACACTGCAAGCTTAACTTCTGAACCAGAAAACCCTAAAGTACGCTGATGCCTCAAGTTTTTGGGGTCCCAAGAGGTGCGCTTGATTGGTCCCCGTTTCGCTACTCGGCTCGCAGTGGTTGCTGATACCCTTCCTCAGAGCTTTTTGGCCAGGAGGTTCGGGTCCGGGATTTAAGGTTAAAACTTTTCCAGAGGGTCCATGTACCCAAAAATTAGGTCCCTTTAAGGGGGATGTCTAGGGGTATATAGGGTTATATAGGGTTTAGGGATTAGGGTTCAAATGCCCAATAATTGGGAACTTGGGTTTTGGGTAATAGTAATTATCATACAGGGTTTGGGCGGGTATATGATTATTAGGTACTTGGAGCCTGAGGGTTTGCGGGTTAGAGCATGGGCTTATGAGGTTGGCAGTTGGGGGGTGTACGTAGTTTTTCCAAGTTCTCTACAACGCTTATAGCATCTTGCCCTTTCTGCATAGCCGTTTCTTGATGAAGACTCGAGAACGCTCGCAGGTGTGGACAACAGTAGGAATGAGTGGCATAGATACCCTTGCAAGAACTAACAATGCTTGCCTTTGCAAGACCAAGCCAACCACAGGATGTGCAAGCTGCCCGCGCTGTAACCTAGTCAACTTGGAGTCTAGTTGCACAACCTCCCCCAGAAGTGCTACATGCTGCTGTGTGTGTGGCTAGACTTACTGCAAGCGCCAGCTTCTTGAACCCCAAGGCCTCATCAGCCTAATTTCCGGAACGAGACCTCAGAATCAAAATCCTAACCCCGCGAACTGTACAACTGAGTTCATGTTCGGGATCCTGCAAAATGTATAGGCCATGAGATTCGCTATATTAGTGCAATTCTGCCTCGCAGAATAGGGATCAAGAGAACAAAAGCCCAAGGAAGGCCACAACAAGTGGCAGAACGGCTTTGTGGGACGAGACGGCAACGTGTACCTGGGACTGCTGCCAAATTCGGAAGTTTAGGGTTGAGCCTTCAGTTGCGGCGTTTCACCTTTTTGGGATTATGTGTACCGTGGGTTGAGTATTTTGGCCGTGTTCGGTGTATTCAAGTGGGACAGGACCTCAAAGCAGTGTCTCGGATGAACTTCCGAACCACTCACACTTCTACATTCTGGACCCTTCTTTTGGATCCGCGTGCAAGGTGTTGTAATTCTTCGGCATGCGCTGCACTACAGAGAGGCTAACCGCGCGGGCACTTGTCAGGGTGTGCGGCGGATCACCCTGCAACGAGAAATGTCCCATATTGACAACACGTATTGTTCTCGAAGCCTCTAGCAGCTGACTCGACCATCTTCAAAAACGGCTTTCCCTTGCCGAGAAGAAGCATTCCATGTTTTGAGCTCCTAGAAGAGATCTGCAGAGAGGCCAGTGGAAGGTTTGGTATCATTTTTCTTTCAGATTGCGTGTGGGTCAGAAGTTGCAGTTTCTCCTTGGCTAATCCGGCCGGCGATGGCCTAAACCCATAGCCAGGAACTTGGAATTGGGCCCCGAAACATCCATGGACAAGGTATGCCATCCCCTGCAATGCGCCGGGCGTACTGCAGATCATTTGTGCGACGGATGAGGTCACTACCATTCCGATTGATATGGCCTCCGGGACGATTTGTGGTCAAGATTCTTGGGTTTTTAGGTTGTTTGGTTGAAGTGCTAAAGTAGCTAGAAATTCTCATGTTTGGGATTTGTTGCAAATGTAAGGAGAATCCCAGCCTCCAGGACAAGTGGGAGGGCGGAGTGGAAGCGAACGGAGATATGCAGCCTGTCCATGAACTTGCTTTGGTCAAGTCCCAACGGGTCCATGTAGGTATATGGTATATACTTAGCGCCCAAAGGGGTTCCCATATACCTACTTTAAGGCCCAAGTATATACCATATACCTACATGGACCCTTTGGGAGTTGTAGCTATGCTCAGACGTTGCGTCTCTCCCTCTCCTCTGCGCATCAGGTTGCACGAGGTTCGGCCATGCCTTGTTAGATTCTTCGGACTATGCTTGTATTTCAGGGACCCCTAGAAGCATGCCACTCTTTTGCGGGTCGAGTGGATCACATTGGGTACTGTAAAAAGTGCGCCACTTGTAGTGCTGAATTTGCATAGGTGTGGTTGGGACCGGCCTAAGGTTCTGCATGCCCCAGAATGCCAAGAAGGTGCTCCGAATCTCGCCAATGAGGTAGCCACTTTCCGCCCGAAGGGATGCAAGCGACGACTTCAAGAGATAAAGGCGGAGAGAGGGTTTGTCGGGTATATTCTCAAGGGCCCCCACAAAGGACAGGCCCTCTACAACCCCCCTAGATTCCCTTATAATGCAAAGGATCCTTCCTGGGCGTTGTTGTTCTATTTAGGGTTTCAGAAGCCCTAAACCCCAAACCTTTTTCAGTTTGGGGTTTGCCAACTTTGGGATCATGGCCTGGCTTACGTCGTATAGGGCTCATGTGGTTGTTGGTCCCGCGCTTTCACGTTCACATGTGCGCGCTTATGGTTATGCATATTTGGTGGTGAGGTACATGTGGATGTATGTATGTACTACATGTATACATATGTTCCAAAGCATTTGGTGGCATGTGGGGGTGAATTCAGGAGTTCCAGCGCTAGGAGCTGAAATCCTGAAGGTGGACAAGTCGACGTCGATCTGCGAGCTGAAGCAGTTGGCACTCTGCTCTGCTAGGATAGCTCTCCGGCGGCCATCAAAGACCAGAGAAGACCCTGTATATGGGATTCCTGCCCCTGAGCCCATAAGCCCTAAAGCCCTAAGCGTCTAACTCCCTCAAAGTCCTGAACCTTGAGCAATCTATAGTCCCCCTTAAGTAGATAGAATATGGCTTTGGGTATATTATAGCAAGACCCCCCATAGACCACATATTCTATCTGCTTGAGGGGGACTATAGTCCTACACAGAACTTAGAGCAGGAGGCCCTATTCAGGCGATCTTTTCTGTCTGCCTTGGGCTCTGCAATCATCAACCTGCTTTGCTGCGACATGCCCACGTAATTATTCATACGGATCATGCTTGAAAGGGTTTATTGGTTTTGAGTACAAGAGTATAGGGTAGTCTAGGGCGTAAGGCTTAGGTATGACTTATGTTCAGCCGTCAGAAGCCAACCAGTCCCTGAAGAGGTAGCTAGTGGTGGGTTTAGGGTTCAAGTACAGGGTCCGATCCCATGATCATACGGTACTAGTCAATGCAGAAATTCTTGGCACATCATGTAAATGAGTTGTGTAGAACTTCAGATGCTTTCTACCACAGTGTTTCTTATCCAGCTATGATGACAACCCGCCAAGCCCTCTGACAAGAAATGGCTGCTGTTGTGTGGATCCTGTTCAAGGTGTAGCTGTTTGTCACAAACCTCCTCTACTTTGCGGTGGGAACGTGCAGTTCTGCTCCTGACCGGTCCCAAATAATGATGTCCTGCATCCCTTGCATAGCGCAGTAGGACAGTAGACATGGCCAAGCTGACGCTGTATGCACTCCGCAGATGTCCGCTTTGAATGTTTGCAGCCCTCAGCGGCGTGGCAGTAATCCGAAGGACACATACTTGTCCAAACCACCCATCTGCTGCCAAAGCTAAAAAGGCAAAAAGAGTGACTGCTCTCCTTTTGCATACGCAGCGCTTGAGGTCCATGAGCTTGGTCTAGAGTCTAGAATATCCATCATGGGCCCTCTTATATATATATATATCCCCCTTATTGAGGAGGACCTAGGTCCTAAGTCAGGAGAATCACAGAGAAGGCCATACCAATCCGCTAAAGGAATGACATTGGAGGGTGCAGATAGCGCTGGCTTTCTTCATGACTGTGGGATGAAGAATGTGAAAGAGAAAGCCGAAGCCGGGTCGAAAAGCCGCACTCATAACCTCTGGCCCATCCAAACATGACATCGAAATTCGGCAACAAAGGTTAGAGCTCGAGGTTTTGGGCGCCGCATTTAGGGTTTATAGGGCTTTACTGTAGGAATTCAGGCGTTGTCACAGCGCTTTAGCAATTCATATGTCAGGCTTTTGCCTTGCGCCTACTGGTTAGGCTCATGCAGCCAAGAATTTCGCCCAAAAAAGTGCCATATACATTGTCGATTGGGAGCGAACTTCGGCAGATCTCGGTGCTGTTTGGGCTAGGTGGCTGCAGGACTCAGTTGGATCCCCAAGGCAGAAAAGACCGCACCAGACTGGGGCTCTGTGTAAATCATTCTTATACACTCTGATTCTGTGCACAATGCGCGTCTCAAGCATCCTTATCTACTCTGAACCCTAAAGGTTCGAATTCTTTGTTCGTCCTCAGACACTAAGCTGCAGATCAACAACCCTTTTGACTCACCCTTCTACTCCGAGCCCTTATGTATAACTTAGGTGGACTCCCGACCCAGTAATAGTGACTATAAGGGATAATAAGGATTCTATTAGGGTTTTCTTATTTTCCAAGTATACCGCTATTACAGGCTGGGGTGTCCTCCGCATGTATAACTTCTACGAAGAACTTTTACCTACATTGTCAGGCCCAAGCCGCACCCTCCCCACATGGCCTGTAATCACGCAGCCCATAGCTTGTGATTTGCTTAGGTTATTGAAAAACAGGGGTCGCCCTTTGACACACCCAAAGGCCCCAAACCATAAACCCTAAACTATGAAGACATCTGTGACTAAAACTCAAGCCCCGCTTTGAGAGATGGGGGTTTCCACAAATTATGGCCACCAAAACAATGGCCAAGACACATTCTTGGGACAAAAAGGCGCCCCGGCTTGTCGAAAAGACAGGGCCGTGGTGAAAAGCATGCCAGCAAGGTCCTCCTGGAAAACCGAAGCCAAGAGAAGCGAATCCTGGTCTCGGCAGAGGGCTAAGACTAGGCTGCCGTTCAGGAACTTAGATTAACTGGGTTGCTGTTAAGGAACTTAAACTAAGTTACCATAATGGGTATATAGTAAATAATAGGGTTTCCCCATTATAGTAACTCAAATTAAGTTCCTTAACAGCAAGGGCTTATAGGGTTCAGGATTGAATTACCATGACGGAGAGATACGTGCGAACAAAATGGAGCATGACATGGACAACTGGCGGTATGTAAGGGTTGAAGGGCCTTAAGCCGACTGAATTGCCATCATGAGGAAACTCAATTTCCTGTATTGTATGTACCGATTTTGCAGCAACTAAGTTAACGTCCTTTGACAGCAATCCAGAAGATGTGCTGTGGAAGTTGCTGAAGGATTTTAGGGCAGTTGGGGTCTTAGGGTTCAGGGTTTGTAATAGCAGGATTCCGGCAACCCTATCCCTTGCAATACGGACCCGGCAAGATTCATCTGATACAGTCCCTAAACCCTACAAAGCGTCCCTGCACTGTGTGCGACGCGCGTGTCTAAAAGGCGTCCTCATGATGGGGTTTGTGAATGAGGGACTGCTGAAACTCATCTTTTGAAAGGCAGTGCCTGATCGGGCGTGAATGATCTTACCTGGAACTTAACCGTGGGTGAAGTAATAGGCCATTATACTACTGTAGGGGCGTAACTGATTACCAATATCACCTTGAGTTTTCTCGAAGTACCCTATACTAGCATTTGCAAGGAGCCTAGGACAATAATTAATATTGGAAGTCATTCAGGACCCTACAGTACATACTTGCGGGTCCGGGTATGTTGCAGCTGAGCTGCCCGGCACACCCTTTTAATCCCTTTTGGGGGAAAGGTGTTAAGAAGGCCTGGCTCCGAGTTGTCAACGAAACTTTGCGCAACCTGGGCAAGGATCACATCCAAAAAGCTGGTAGCCCCAACCTGTGCGCCTAAACCCAAAAGCCCAGTCTCACCCTCTGAATGCCAGTGGTTTTGCTGTACTTCATGGGTCCCGCACCTGCATGACGCAGCCAAAGCCTTAACCCAAATGGCCTTCCACGCGGATGACCGGGGAAGGCCTTGAAAACAGCAGACAATTCAGTGCCAAGATGTCAGTTTGTCTTATTACGTAGCATTTATATATTTCCCTAAAGGCCCTAAAGAGGGAAACCTAGATCTTCGCCAGAGTCCTTATAAGGTCCGCAGTCATACTTTCAGAAAGTCCTAAGCCCTTTTCCGAGACTTGGATCCTACAGGCTTAACCCCGGCAAGCGCCTAACACCTAAAACTCCACACCCTAAACCCTACACCATCCCCACAATTTCCTTCTGAACTCTGCTACCCTAAACCCCTAAACCCCACAAATAGAGTCCTTCAGAATTCCTCATCTGAAGAGATTTCCGCGTGACTCTGCAAGGCATTGGCGGAGCCAATACGTCCTGCGGCTGCCGGCTCAGATGGATCCATATGAGCTATAACCTAAAGGCACATTACCCCCAATAATGGAGAATCCGCTGGAAAAGAAAATGGAAAATGAAATGGAAACTGGGATTATAGGGTAGTTTATAAGGATTAGGGTTATATCGGCGTTAAGGTCTGCTTGGCGCCCTCGTGTACGCCTGACCCACAGCTTCAGAGCATTTACAAGTCCCCAGAGGGGCCCTTCACGTGGTGTGTGCTTCGTGTATACGCACACGTACGTGATCGTTACCCTGGACATACAGGAAGAGTTTATAGGGCCCAGGGTTTGCCGAACTGCAAATTTAGACATGATAAGGGTAAGTTTAGGGTTCAAAAGGTTTTGGGGTTCGGGGGAACATTCACGTGGCCCAGGCGGCTTGACTTGAAACTACATGTGCCTGCAGTGCTCTAAAACCCTCGACTTTCATACGAAGCACCTAGGGGCGCCTTAAACCCTAAAACTCAGACTCCTCATCTGGCTTTTGGTTTGCTGGGAATGAAGGAATGGATCCTTATAGTAGTCCCTATATAGC